TATAGTGTTGGGATGTTAATGTGGGAAATATTTGCAGGTCACCCACCATTTGATGATAGAGCTCACAATCATTGTTTAATCTTTGATATATGTGCAGAAGGTTTACGACCACCAATATTACCTGGAATGCCTGAAGATTATGTGCAAATGATGCAGAGATGTTGGGATGTGGATCCATCAAAAAGACCAACTAGTGGAGAACTTTGGACATTCGCTATAAATAAATATGAGGAAATTTGTAAAAATTATGATGATACTAATAATAATGATAATATTGTTAGTAGTGGTGGTAGTGGTGTTTTGCAACAAGCACACAAACCACATCCAGATGCATATCATACAAGTAGAATATTAGACGAAGAGATTGCTAAATCTAAAAGCTTGAAAATTTATACAAGTAATGATAGTTCATTAAATAGTCTTGATTTTAACTTTTTTCTCTAGAATGTTAACAAAGGTGATTAAAAATTTCATTATTAATCAATTGGAAATTACTATCCGTTAATTATTACCAACAATATTAATTAATTAATTAATAGGCATTAGATTCTAGTAATAATTGTTTAAAAAAAAAGAATTGATTTAATTTCTACTATAAATTTATTGTTATCTTTTTATTTTTATCTTTATTTGTTTTTCAAAGCTAAATTATAATAATGTTTTGAAATGTTTTGAATAATAAACTTTTTACAGTCTTTTGATTCTTGTTTCCTATAAGAAATTGATACGATCATCCAAATTTTCAGCAAATGGAAGATGTTCCACTGAGACCCTTTTCTCTACTGAGTCACCTAAAATCGTAATCATCGATTTTTCAGTTTCCAACCGTTTTCCAAGAGGAACAATCATTTCAGGAATAGTATTGCTTACAGTCCTCATTATGCGTGCAATATTAACCACTATACAGAGGATAGAAACACGATCTCGGCGATTATTCATGTCCAATTGATTTGAAAGTGCAACTAAACGGCTTGGTGGATTTGTGTTTGGTGATCCATCAATTGCAAAAAAACGCAACCTTGTTCCTGCTGCAGCGTAACAAATCATAAACTGTATATTTTCAAAATACATAGGATCAAACTTATTGAATTTTTCTTCAAGTTCATCCTTAGCTTTCGAAAAGTCCGCAAATTCAGCCTTCTCTTCACCTTTAATAGAAGTACACTGTTTGTCCAGCATAGAAAATCTGGTCCTTTACTACCTATCGTTGTTGTTCCCTGATCCTTACAACTCCGATCCATTTCAATTGGAAGCATTCCTCTGCCAAGATTCTCATGAAAAATCTGGAGTGGAATTCTAATAATATTATCCATTCCCCAGTGCAACATATCTTCTGATGTGTTATTTAAATTTTGCTTTTCAGCTATGTCAGTAAGTAAATGGGAAATGTGTTTTGATAGGTTACTTCCACATTCATCATTTTTTGTTTCAATAAAATCAGCAAGCTAGGGAAACTTTATCTCCTCATAGAAGGATACAGGCAGTTTTCGAGTTAATGGCACATTAATAAGAGATGTAAGATCCCTTGCTTGACTTGGGACAGAGCTGAATGGTTGAATGAGAGTGTCGCAGATTATGTCAGTTCTGTCAATTTGCATGTCATCATAACTCCGTTTTGCTACAGAAAATCCAGATAATAAATGTAATTGCGTTAAAGGTGAATGGATCAATGAATTAAGTAAATCAATGAAATGGAATGAATGGAAAACAATTTTTTGTATATTTTTTTATGCAATTTGTTCATTACCTTTTCCTTCACTTAATTCGGCTAATTTTTTTTGCAAGTACATTACTTGCTCTCCCCAATCGTTCACATTTTTTTTTCATTGAGCTCTTTCCTTCTTTTCCTTAAATTCTTCAGCAGTATTCCGTCCTCTCCATCCTCAAACGCCTTCAACTTCTCCTTTGTTCCTTCTTTGCATCGTTTAGTTCTTGTTCAATTTTTACGAATGATGCCATGTAAAATTTAATTAAAAAAAATTTCATAGGTAATCCTTTCTTTCCTTAGATAAGCTTCCAGTGTCTGAGTATCATTTATTTTGAAAATGTAAGGAGCAATTTTTTCACCTTGTTCCTTTTTAAAATACTTCTAATGATGCTATAATTCTTGGGTTCCATGGTAGACCTAATGTAAATTAATTTCATATTTTTATATAGAGGTAATTCTATATATCACCTAATATTAAGAGGATAACAAATGGAAAATTTTAATCCCTGAAATTCTTGGTAACACCGTTGTTCACTTTGTCTAGTTTTGTTGCAGCATACCCCATTCAATGTTTTAAAAATTGGAGTAACACAAGCAAGAATTATTAGAAAAGTCACTATTACTATTTATATTTATTATTTTATTATTTGATTGGTTTTTAAAAATACACATTTAAATTAGTTGAAAGTAAAATTATTCTATTTAGAATGCATATAAATGATTAAAAATGTTTTTTAGTGTTTAGTATTAGTGTAATCTAAAATTAATGAATATTTCTATATAGTTATATTAGCAATAATAAAATCTATCTATCTATACTATTGTCTCCAAACCAATCATATCTTCTTCGTTTTGTTTTTGATTACGGTGCCATTTACGAATTTCATCAAACAAGAAAACAGATGATGTTATTATAAAAAGCCATGTCAAATCATATATGGTTAGAGCTTCTGTTTGAAATATTGATTGGAAAAATGGTACATAGATCACAAACATCTGCCCAATAAGTGATCCAAAGACTGCAAGATTAAACATTGAATTAGATAAGAGCCCTATTTTAAATATTGATTTCTTTTCTGATCTACAAGATAAAGCATTAAACATGTCAAATAGCACAAAACAAGTAAATGTCTAAAAAAAAATTTTTAAAACAAAACATTAACATTTTTTTGTCGAATTCAAAATAAATTAATAATTGAATTAATAATCAAAATCTCAAACCATTGTAGTGTCTCTAGCTGTTACTTTTCCATCTCGCATCTCAGTAATATATGTGAATAAAGTTCCTATTACAATAATCGCAGCTGAAAACAGCACTCTCGTTATTAGATCTGAATTAAGAATAGACGAATTTTTTTTTCTTGGTGGCTTATTCATTATGTCTTCATCAATTGGCTCAACTCCTAATGATTGTGCCGGTGGTCCATCCATAAGAATATCTGTAATTATATTATTGTTATCAGTAAAAAAAAGTAAAAATAATATAAAAATTTCGTATATGTGATTTAAATTGCATTTTATCTCATTCATTGAACTTACTAATCCATAAAATTTGCATAGCATTTAAAGGATTAGGCAATCCAGAAATTGTAGAAATGGCTATTAATGATAGGGCAGCTATACTGGTACTTAATTGGAACGTTAAAAAATTTCTTATATTATAAAAAATTGATTTCCCTAAACACAAAATAATATTTAAAGAAATTTAGATACAAATCTCAAATTAATAATAGAAATTTTCTAAAATTAAAATTAGGAACCTTCTTTTACTGCATCTAGAATAGTATTGAATTCATCGTTGACCAAAATAATATCCGCTGCCTCTCTTGCAACATCAGTACCACTTTTCCCCATCGATATTCCAATATCTGCTATTTTCAAAGCTGGTGCATCATTTACTATTTTAAAAATTTAAAATGATAATTAATATAAAAATAGGCCATAATTCTTATTACCAATGTTCCTAAAATATAATCAAGTACCTCCATCACCAGTCATAGCCACAACAGCTCCTATTGATTGTAATGCTTGAACAATCGCCATTTTATGCTTTGGTGCAGTTCTTGCAAAAACAGAAACGTTATTAATAATTTCTTTTAATTGTAGCTCTGATAATGACTCAATATCATTTCCCGTCAGACAACTTGATCTTAATGGCGCATTAACTGGGATACCCAGTTTTCTTGCAATAGAAAGTGCAGTTTGATCTTAAAATTTAAACAAAAAAAATTAATATTAAATAAAAAAAAAAATTAATTAAAATATAAATAAATTTCTTTCAAAATTACCCGAATCTCCTGTAATCATTACAACTTTTACGCCACCTCTAATCAAATCCTTAACTGCTTTATCAACACCTGACCAGTAAAATCATATTAAATTATTAGTTTTATTGTTATTTTACAATTATACATATGTGATTAATGAGAAGAAAATTTTGAGAAAAACAAAACAACCTTTTCTTGGTGGATCATACATAGCCACACAACCTGCATAAGTCAGTTTTCCTATTTCAGTTCCAAATGCCATACCAAGGATACGTAGCCCCTGAGAAGACATGGTACTAACATTAAGATTTATTTTATTTTTAGCTGAATCATCTAATGGTGGGCGGTTTGACTCTGATATATAATAAGAATTGCATCTTGCCAAAACTGCTTCTATTGAACCCTTGAAAAATATAGTATTAGTTTTTGAGTCGGAATTGATTTTTCTACAGGTTATTGACATCCATTTCTGTTCTGAATTAAAAGGAATCTCTGAAACCCTTTCATAATCCTAAATAAATATTTTCAAATTAATTATTATTTTTCAAAAAAAATATATAAATATAAATTCTATTTATATGATTTGTTGGTCACCTTTAACAAATCTTCCATTCCAAACTTGACTACAGCATCTAATAATGCAACATCAGTAGCTTGTCCAAAAGTTTTGCCGTCCTTTTCAATACGACCATTATTACATATTCCACCTAATTAAGTTTAAAAAAGTCCTTCAATGTTACTATCAAAACCGATTTAATATGCATGCAAGCATATAAAATATAAAATATGTTAATATAACCTATTTTCAATACTTCTTTCATAGCATGACTGGTTTTAGATGGCATGCCATGTTCCAAATCAAATATTGATTCTTCATCTAATGTGGAAATTTTTGTGACAGTCATTATATTTTCAGTTAGAGTACCTAATAAAAGATCAAAAATTAGTATTAACATTTTTTTAGCTTCTTATACCAATACAACTAAGCATCAATTTACCAGTCTTATCTACACAAATCACATTAACTGATCCAAGTGTTTCTACAGATGGTAATTTCTTAATAATTGCATGTTTTCTTGCCATTCTAAGAACACCTAAACCTAAAGTAACAGCTACCACAATAGGAAGACCTTCCGGTATTGCAGCTACAGCTAAACTCACTTTTGACATATAATTTAAGAATTATTTATCATTATTTACCACAAGTATAATCATATTTAGGAAAATGAAATATTCAAAAAAACGAGTCAACTACCTCCAATAGTAAACATATCTAACCATTTATGCCCTTGAACGATTCCGATAATTACAATTATCAAAATTATAAAGCCTGATAAATATGATAATTTTTTACCAAGATCATCCATGCTTATTTGAAATGGAGTTTTAGGTCTTTCTGCCTAAAATTATTAAAAAAATTTTCTGTTCCATTAATAAAAAACTCATCTTTATGTTCCATTTAAACAATAATTATATACCTCTTTAACCATAGAAAATACAACTCCAAATTCTGTCTGTATACCTATTCCAACTACTACGCCTTTTCCATGACCTTTTAAATATTACTGTTATTATTATTAACTCTATTTTTATTAGAAATAATAATGTCGATAATAAATATGATTTTGAAAATATACCATTTTTAACCAAAGTTCCCATAAATGCAATGTTTTTTCTTTCTTGAATAGACAATTCGATATGACCGTTGTGTAATGAAATCTCATTAATGGTTTTTTCTCGAGGTTTAGCTTCACCTGTCAAATTAGATTCATCAATTTCTAAATTTGCTGCCTGAATTATTAAAACTATGTTATTAAATATATAATTTCTATTGATTAGGATATCAAGAGAATTCTTTTACGTACAGAGATGATACGCAAGTCTGCTGGGATTCTATCGCCAATACCGAAGCTTACAATATCACCAGGGACTAATTCTCTGGCTGAGATTGTACAAATTTTACTATCACTATCATAAGATAAAATAAGTAGTTTCTTAATGCATTGGATTAACGAAAAATAACCGATCAATAATTCAAAACACAAATATATTTCAACACATACCGAATTACATGACAGTTATGAGGAACCAATTTATCCAAAGCTTCTAAAGACTTTTCAGATCGATATTCTTGTATAAATCCAACTAAATATATAATCATTGTATTCTATTAGTATATATAAATCTAAATCTATTGAGTTTGTTTATTTGTTATTAGAAAAACAAAAACTAATAAGTTACCTGTAGTTACAATGACAACGGCCTAAGTTATATTTTAGAAACAAAAATAGCCATTTAATTAAGTAAATAAATATATATACATTGCATACACAAAAATGAAAAGTTAATTACCAAAAGTACTGAGAAGGCATCATCTTTGTTTCCCATCAACAAGGAAACAATTGCTGATGCAAGAAGTAGTAAAATAAGTGGATTTTCAACAAATTGTTTGATAAACTTGATGAAGGGATGATCTCCTTCTTCAACATCAAATTCGTTATAACCACACGACTTTCGTTTGTATTCGACTTCATTATGAGTGAGACCAGTTTCAGAATTAGTAGAAAATGTTTTAATCGTTCCTTCAATTGTTTGACGTGTAAATTGTGCTGAGGGAGTTGATGAACCCATCACTAGGGTTTATATGATGTATGTATATATTATTGAGAGGTAAATTTGTTATATATAAAAATTTTTTTGAATTTCATTTAAATCGTGTCACAAATAAATAACAAATAATGATATTGCCGTTTGTAAACGATATTTACTAATAATGGATTCTATAAACATTTCTCAAATAAATAATGAATTAACCGAAACTCAAAGAATTCTTCAAGAATTATTCAAAGATCCTTTATTATCAGATTTAACAAAAACTAATACGCCAGAGTCTTTAACAATCGAAGAGGTCGATACATTAATTGCCTTAGAATTAGGCACAGCCTTTGAAATAATAATTGAGAGAGGATTAATTGAATCATTAGGTAAGCTTTTACCCGATCCCACGCATGTAAACAAAATTATTATTTATTTTTGTTAACAATATTAAATAATAGTACTTGTGGTTAGACAAAATGCGACTGTCCACGATATTAAAAAATTGATTTCGATAAAAGTGGAAAGAGAGTTAGAATCTCAAAAAAAAGCACCAAATAGTTATGACAAGTTAAAAAAGAATAAGAATTCTAATCAGAAAAGGGACAACAGAAAGATTAGTTGGTAAAGTTTAATTGTTTATGATGCAATTATTATTAAAAATTTTTTTCTCTCTTTCACACAAAAATTTTTTTTTAAAGGAAATATATATGGAGATCTTATTGCTTGATTTTTGAAGGGAAACTTCTTTTAGATGATAAAGTTCATATACAAGAATTAGGAATACGTAGTAAAAGTGTTATAAAATTTATAAGAAATGCTAAAAATCCAAAGAAAAATCAAAGGAATAATTATAATAAATAAATCATTTTAATATCCTTTCTAGATAAAATATCCTTTATATGTTAACATTGTATATCATTAATATCAATTTGATGGTCTTTTTAGGCAATTACAAAAATATAATATAATAATTATATATACGCATACATATAAAAGTATTAGTATCCTTTTACCCAATTTAATTTTCATCCTTTCAATAATCTTGTTGACTAGATAAGCTTATGGAATTACTATATTTAGCATCAACGAAGATCCAGCATAAAGGCTATAATATTTCATAGTTAGATTATATAATCATTGATACCTATAGCATTATCAACAATACAGGAAAATCTTCATTACCTGCCTTTTCAGAAACCACGTGACTATAAATACTATGTTATAAAAACAGTTGGGTAGAATGAGAAAAAATGCATAATGGCAATTTATAATTTTTCAAACACCCCATTCGGAGATCGGCATAACGGTTATTAAAGTTTAGAAACATGAAGTTATATAATCATAATCTTTAGAACTTTTTTTTGTGTGTAATTGGTCACATTAGGGAATCCAAACTTGATTAAGAAAATTAATAGATGAAATATCCCTAAGCCCAACAATAATCACCACTTATTCGGGATAAAGCATCTATGTTTTGTGGGTTTCACTTCAATGCATATATGGTTCAAGTTTCTCCATCCGATTACACTTATCTCATATGAGAATGAGGATCCTCTTCTTCACATCCACATAGTCTTTGTTTAAAGTAATACATTTCTGTCATGTGGGCTGGTAACTGATATTTGAGTATGTCTTCGTTCAAATACTTGGACGAGTCATCTTCAAATTTATCCTTAAATTCAATCTTCAAATTCTTCACACTCTCCTATTGAAGAAGATGGTGCCAATAGTTCCAATTGTTTTTCACAAACTTCTTTCAGAATTTCATAAATATGCCAAGAAAAAAGATTTATATGGGCCTATTTGTTATTATTATAATCATGTATTTTTCCGTAAAAATCATCCGCACCCAACCACCAATAAAATTGGATATTTCCATGATGCTGGATGTTTTTTGCGGAAAAATACATGATTTTCTATTTTCTATTTGTTTATTTTATTATTATTGTTATTAAAATATAATGGCACTGAAAATCAAGTGAATTCTTTCGCAGATCATTTAATTATCCGCATATTGTTTAATGTCGTGTTTCTCAAAAAATTATCTTTTAGAGAATTCATTTGCAATATAACAATAATGATGATAAATACGTTGTCAATTCGACGATTTTTTTTTATTTCCTTTAATTAAAAAAATGAGTGATAATATTGACGGGAGTACTCTTAACCAAATTATTATTGAAAATGGTAACGCACCGACGACGCTGACTGACATTAAAGAACTAGGTTGGGACGAGTTTAAATATGAACTCGAGCTTAACCAAGAAAGCAAATATAAAGAACAAATCGATGAAATAGATTATAGTCCCAATCATGAATTTTTTGTAACTCATTGTAGAAAAGGCAGAATCATCATTTTATGGAAAGTTAATGGAAACCATTTAAGTTGTTCTAAGATTTATAAGTATAGTAAGGAATTTGTCAAATCTAAGCTTTGTATCAATGAAATTTCTGATAAAGACAAATCCTATAATCCTAAAGACAAACCCAAGGTTTATATCAATGAAATTTCTAATAATCAATGTGTAGTTATACAAAGTGAATATTGCTGTAAGTAATTAATTTACTTTAATTTTTTAAAAAAATAAACTCTTAAAAAAACAATTTTAATATTTTTTTTCAGTATTGTTCAATCTGGAAAAAGGAAAAATCATCGAGTATCCTGAGAAGATTGGAAACAAAATCAAAAAAGACAACGAAGGAAAAGGTTCGCGTTTTGAAAAAAAAAAAGACAACGAAAAAGACAAAAAAGAAAAGGATACAAGAGTTATTTTCCAGAAAAATAGCGAGTCAAAAGAAACCCCTAAATTAATGATGTTGAGAAGAAGCAATAAAGATAAAAAAAAATATAAAATATATTCCATGGAATATAACAGCAATGCTGATAACCATTATTTAGAACTTCTCGATACACATAATATTTATAGTGATGAAACCCCAAAGATTTATTACGATGACAATCATTTTCTTGCTGCTGCTAGTCATTCATTGATATCGGAATGGAATTATTGCTATAAAAGTTATCATTATGAAAAAAATTTTTATTTAAAATATAATGATTATATTGTTCTTAATAAACGAAATAAGGCGGAAGAAGCTTTGATGGTGGCTGATTATCGTCGAAATTCAAAGCTAGTAGTCTACTCATTAGAGCGTAATATAACAGTTTCATCATGTGAGTAGTTATAATTAATATTATTCTTTTTATTTATAATAATAATTCTTATTTTAAATATAAATCCATTTATAGTCGAATTTAAGGAAGAAGTTCATATTAAAAAAGTAGATTTCGTTTATGTGGACAACGGCACATTTGGATGTCAGGTAACAGAAAAAGATTTATCAGACTTGGAAAATGATGATGAACATAAAATCAATAATATTTCGGAAAAATATTGGAGATCAGAATATTTAGCAAAATTGAAAGATAAAAAAGATAAAATCAAAAAAAAAATCAACAATTTGAATCAAAAAGAAAAAGAATATCTAACAAAATTAGAAAATGAAATCAAAAGAATTAATGATATTTTGAATCCACCAACAACAGAAACAGTAGAAGAAAAAGAATCAACAGAATTAGAAAATAATATTGATGATATTTTGAATTCATATTGGACATCAGCAAAGAAACAAGAGAAATTGACAAAATTAAAAGGGAAATTTGCAAGATTAAAAAAATTAAAATTTAAGGAGTTTTTGTTGGTCATATATTTTGATAAAGAAAATGGAGAAAATAATTGTGTGTTAATGGACCCTTACAATCTTGACCTTGATCCTACCACTTCTGTAAATATCACACATATTTTTAATGAATATGATAAGATGAATAAGAATATTATATTTGGACCAATTGTAGATAATAATTGTATTGTCATGGCTAGTGATGTTCGTATTTGCACTAAAGAACTCATTAATGATAAAGTGTCAGAAGAAATTAAGAAGTTTAAATTAAAAAATTATAAAATTTATTATATGAGTCAACAATTGTATAAAATGTACAATAAAATACTTGCAAATATTGAAGGATTGAAACCTCCTGTTGACTATGATAAAAACAAAAAATACCAAACAATTAGTAAACTAATTAAAAAAAAGATTAAAGATCTCATTGCTAATAATGAGTATAAGGGACTATATGCAAACCCTATCATTGAAGATGGAAAGGATTATAAATGGACCATAACTCATAATAAAGAATTTCAACGTATAAACATAAGAGTTCTAAACAAAGACAAAAAAAACAGCAACAGTAGTAGTGAATATGATAGTGAATATGATTTATCACATGATGAAACATTCATTAAATGCAAGTTATTTCATGATGGCTTGATCTTAATAACAACAAATTATATACAAATTTTTGCTGTTGATGATGAAAAAAAATTAATATATGTTAGATATATTAAAAGTCATAACTTGAGTATAGAAAGTTTAAAAAAAAACATCAAGTCTATTGAAAAAGATTACGAAGGTTATATATTTGATGTTGATCATTTTTTTGAAGAAATTAATAAAAATTACACCAGCAAAGATCAAATCAAAAGTCAAATCCAAATACAAATCCAAATTTTTAGGCACCCTTATAGAGAGATGATTCAATACTTGACAAAAGATTTCTATTATCTCACCAAATATGGAGATGTGGTTTTAAGTGAAGCATTAAAAGTAAAAAATGAATTTTTTGTAAAAGAAGTGATTGAGTCATGTCTTGAACAGTTTATAAAAGATGTTGAATCAAACATCAGTCTATTAAAAATTATTATTGTTAAACTACCACAATTAGGCAGAAGTTATCAAAAATTAATCTCAGAATTTTTTGTTCGAAATTCAGCAATGTTACTTCAATTTGATGACAAGGTTGCTTTTTCTAGGTTATTTAATCAAGCCAAACCCCATGAAATATTCATTTTCCAATCTAGTAGATTTTGGCATTTCTATTTTTATAGATATTTTTTTAGATTTGTTAGAGATTCTTTATATAAAAAAATTTTATTATGTTCAAAGTGGGTTTTTAACATTAGTGAACTTGAAAGTGAAAAGGCTTGTGTGATGCTTTTAATTCCCTTCCCAGGATTTATGAATTATAGTAGTGATTACAGTTTTGCATTGGAAATGATTAAACCAGAATCAAACATTTTTGTTGAATCAGAAAATTTAGAAATTTATAAGCATTGGAATGGAAAATTTATCTTGGATTACAAGTGGAACCATTTTGGAAGAAAATATCACATAGGAATATCAATTATTTATACAATATTTTTATTAAGTTTTGCTATTCCTACCACTAGTAACCCAGATGACTTTTCTGACATTGCAAAAAAAAAATCATTGATTGCATGTATTGCAATTGGTTCATTTTTCATGAGTATTGAAATCAGGCAGTTTATTTGGGGAGAGATGAGTTATGTAAGAGATCTTTGGAATATTTTTGGTAAGAAGTATTTTTTTGCGATTTGCTAAAATAGAATTTTTTTAATATTAATTATTATTATTGATATTAGATCTTGGTGCCTTTTTATTACCAATTATTGCATCAGCCCTTTGGTTGCGTTATGACACACCACCAGAAATATGGATGATTTCATTGGCTAATTTATTATTAGATTTGAGATTCATGTTACTATTTAGAGCTTTTAGATATTTTGGAGTTTATTATGCAATAATTATTGGAGTGGCACAAAATGTCTTTTCATTTTTGTTGATATTGTTTTTAATTGTTTTAAGTTTTTCACATTCATTATACATAGCATTAAGACCAACTGAACAATATGATCTAGATATACCTCCTACCAATAATGATGATCCCAACAATCCTTGGAATCTTGTTGATAATTATACCATATTTACAGACAATATATATACTACTACTACATATATTGTGAAAAAGCCTGATGATACAGTCAACATGTTTGCTTATTTTCCTACTTCAATTCTGGCAATGTATAATTTCCTTACAGGTAAATAAACAAGTTTTTTTTTAATGATAATAATAATTTTTTCTTAATAAAAAATATGTGTTATTATTATAGGTGATAGCAGTGCACTTGGAGCTTGGTCACCTGTAAAAAATCCTTATCTAGTAATATTAGTAGTGACATTTTCATTCATAGTAGTTGTATATTTGATGAACTTATTTATTGGCTTGCTTAGTAATGAAATTGAAAAAAATAATACAGAAGAAGCATTCTTGGCTGAGAGAGCAAAGGTTATCAGAGAGATTGAATTATTTTATTTATTTCCCAATCAACGGAGATGGAGAGATTGGTTTCCAGATATTTTGTAAATATAGTACAAATTTATATATAAATATAATTTATCTTTAAATTTTCTTGAAAAAATAATTTAATTTTTTTGTTTTATTAGATGTTATTCAGTTCCAATTGAAGATATTCAGAAAAAAATTAAAGAAATTGATGATTCAGAACACAAAACGTTTATTTCTGAGAAAGTCAGAGACCTTGTTGAAGCTCCTGAAAAATACGATTTGGACCAAGTCATAGATAAAATTGAAAAAGTCGAAGGAAATATCAATCATAGGTTTGGATTGTTAAATAATGTTGCGAATCAGGATCAAGTCAAAGAGAAAATTGAAGAAATTGAAAAAAATATGAATAAATTGTTAAATAGTGGTGTGCGAATCAGGATCAAATCAAAAAGAAATTTGAATAAATCGAAAAAAAATGTGAATAGTAATTTTAAGGAATTATTAGATGAATTCAAAAAAATCAAAATCGAATAATTGTATTCGGATGCGAATTCCGATTTGCTTAATTTTTAATATTAATTAAAGGAAATATGTTTTGTTTTGTTTTTAAAATCAAAAGGTTTTTATTAATGATTAGCCAAACATGCTAAAAATATAGTTCTTACCAAAATTGTAATTCTTATCATCTTATCAGATCATCCAATTTAGCAAAAAGTTTAGAGTTTAGGTATTAGCATCAGTTTCATGAATCTAAAATGTTATCCACATTAATGGTACTATTTCCTCGCCAGCTTTTGAATGGGAGCCTAATATATTAGAATATCCCATAAGGACGATTATCTGAAAATGGCTACACCAATCATCAGAAAATTATACAATTGTCATTTTCTAGCATATCAGATCTTAGGGATGACTGATGCATGCATTGGCTGTAAGAAGATGGAACAATAAAGAGTTGAAAGTCACCAAGTCATTCCTGCTGCAAAACGTGTCAAATTAGATACTTTATTGATAAGACCATGCATGGTGGGTGAAAATGATGTTGTTTATATGGAGGGAAGATGTCTACGATGTTATGTCAAAGGAAAAAAGTAAAGTTGGAATGGCCGCAGAAGTTTTCAAAAACATTAATTACAAACTATTTAAAAACATAAAAAGCTAAATCACTAGAATTACGCTCCATTCTTTAAATCTAGATTATTACTGTCTCACATGACATTCTCAACAATCAAGGAATATTAATATTAAATATATAGACCTCTTTCAACTAAATTTTTGATTCACATAAAATTTTGGTATATATAACAGATATTAAATGCAATTTTCTTATGTGTCTGTCCCATAAATTCGTTGAACGAGATTGGACTGTAGAACTTGAACTAAAGATATTGACCACAATTAGGGATGGAAACGGTGTGATTCGGTTTATAAGCCATCAGTTTGACAAACGAACTGAACGTTTATAATTTTGTAATCACAATAAGTTTATTAATACAAAAATAAATAATTTATATAAACAAAAGAATCGGAATGCACTTTCCAATTTATACCATATTAATATGTAGCTTAGATTTTGGCAAAAAAAGAATTTTTTTTGGTTTGATTTAATAATTATGATTAATTTATAATCGAAACACAAGGTTATGAGAGTTAGTCTATCAAATGATTGATCTTTCTATCAGACTTAGGTTCAATTGTGGCGCTTGCTTTTGAATGAATAGTCTATCGATTTGAAAAATAAATACAGTGGTTTCGCATTTTTCTCTATGATCTACCCTTGTAATATTTCGTGCAATTATTTTACTTGGTCTCGTTTCTTTATTTTTATCCATTGACACTTATTATTGTTACGTAGGATTTTAATTCTGACCAATTGACTCCCGGATCACCTATCTCTATTTTTGAAAATTTAAGAGTGTTTCGATTAATTTGTCTTCTTCTCGGTTCATATTCCAACGAACTGGTCCCTTCTTCTCATTTATTACCAGGAATCTTCCTTTTTTCTGAAATACTGATTTGTAATTCATAAACCTTTCCAATAGTTGTTCCATTTTCATATGGAGATTTATTGATATTGATTGTTATCTCCTCCTGTCTACATTAAGATTTATCACTGCGAGCGGTTTTCCAAACTTAATTCTCAATTCTTATGACTGTCTAGTGTAATCGGTATTATTTTCCTTTTGATAGTTGTATTAAATAAAATACATGGCAGTAACCCGAATCATTTCAGCATTAAGATGTTGAGAAAGTTCAAGTTTAGCCCGGGTACACAGCATGTTATAGTTGCTCGAAGGTAACGTCAGCATTTTATTTTGGTAAATCAGTAACAATAAAGTATGGCGATGTTAATGCAGATATTAATGGTTTTTTTTATCTGTTTTCATTTCGATATCTTTTTTTCTTCTACCAAGGTTATTGACTCGGAATGGAATTGATTGTTGGCATGTTTGGTGTTGATTCAGTCTGTTGATCAGTTCCAATCTTGTCTTTGGAATAGAATTCAGCCGATGAAACCTTAATTCTTATTCTTTTTTTTCCCGCTTAGTTCATGCCATATCTGCTAGCATTGAATGAGTTTCTCTGATGATATTATTGTTGTTATTATTGCTAGTATTACCATTATGGTTTGAGTTTGGATGACGAAATCTCTCCTTTTTTTTGTCATAAATGGGACGAAATAGGAATTTTACATTTTGAGGAATTTGACGAAAATGATGAAAATGACGAAATCATTTACTTTAAATTATTTACATTTTTGTTCAAGGAGCAAATTAAAAAAGTAAATTTTATGATGTCAAATTCTAATTCACCAATTACTTCTCATATAACGCGTATTTACAAATATTAAATTTAGATAATATATCTGAAAGTTCATTTAACAATAATCAAGAATTAGCTCCAGGACGTCCTGTATCTGGTGTATGAAAAAAGTAAAAGGACATTACTCAGCATCCCGCAAAAAATTCTCCAAAAATCTGGAACGCATTTTATTTTTTAACTCTAAAATATTTTCGTCACCCAACCTTGTTATGGTTCGACGGTCTTGGATTGGACATTTCACTATTATTAGTGTTGTAACTTGCCATTATCATTTGGTAATATAAGCACTGTACGTTCTTTTTAGAAAACTTAAAATGTTTTTAGCCAAAATTATAATAAAATTACAATCTTGTCCACAAAATGATAAATCAATAAAAAAAAAATATACGTGTCTTTGAATATTGTACTATTACTATAGTTTTTGAAACATTTTGCACATGGCTGTTATATTATTATTGTGACTACCGTAACTATTAATGCTGTTGTTTGTAAATCTATGATCGGGCTTATTGCTATTATAATTATTATTACTATCGTTGTCCTGAAGGAGGCAACTTCTATTGGAATAGCTGGTTGATCACGTCGATAAAAACAAGCCTCTAGTTGATTTGAATTTATCATCCAGCAGGTTGGTTATCAAAGTAATTTATCCCTAGGGTCATTTTGGGCTACATTTCCAGGTGTCATTAATTTGATTTGCAAAATAAGCATACAAAGCTCCTTCTTTAAAAATATGCCATTTCAAAGGTTTCAGCATGGCAACGTGTTAAGTAGGAATGAACTTACTGCAAGAAATAATTATATTATGCCGGGTCAAAATTACCAGAATTTTGCCTAATACTAATGCTAATTTTGATTCAGCATAAGTTTTATATAAACCTCTATATACTAATACGGTCAAACCATTGTTTCAACGAATCTTGTTTCCAATGAATGAACTTTAAGTAGAATTTTTAGTAGAATTGATCGCGTTACAACTAATTTACATGAAATAAAGAGCAAAATATTAATTATGACGCATAAAATATTTCAAAATGAAAATAAAAAAATCTGTTACTACAAATCTAATAACTCTCTTAATTTGCACAATTAAAAAAATGATTCTCTTTAATTCCACACAATTCAAATTATAATTCTATTAATTCCATACAATTATATCAACATTAACACCACCACCTTCTTCTAAAAAGCGTATATACAGTATATTAATGCTGAGCAAAAATTCGAATTGTGTTTATTGAATCAAATTAGACCTCAACCCAAAAGTATTATTTATTTAGCACAAATATATGAGCATAATCAGTAGAATATATATCAATTGCCAACTGAATAAGGCATCCTTAATTTATTTGTACCAATTGAAGTGGAAATATATTATTATAAGTGGTTCAACTGTACCTAACGCTTCAATGAATGAAACTTTTAAAACTGCACTTAATTTTCTCGAGCAAAATAATTTACAAGCGGATTATAATGAATTGAAGGCCTTTAACAAATTTTTTGTAGAGCTTGAAACCGGCTAAAATAGGTTAGATCACTCTTAATTCGCAACTCGTGGTAAACGTGCTAGAATCCTGATCGATTTTTTAATTGTAAAAATTTAAAATGACAAAATGTCCCACTTTAATTGTAATTCCTTGTTTCAGTAGGTGAAATGAAACCACATTCACATCATGGGCTGAATGCAAGAGAATGAAAAGTAGAGATGGGCAGATCAGTACTACACGTATAGTACTATACGTATAGTGCTAGAACAATACAGTCGGCGCTCGATATAAGAAAGAGTTGATTTTGACAAAAACTTCACAGTGTGATTCATTATATTACCATACAAAAAATTATTTTCCACTTTTTTAGTAGTTAATAATTACAGAGTAATTTAATCAAGAGCAAAAAACGGACATTTAATTTGAGTAGCGTAATATAAAAAGATCGGCAAAATTTTTACAAACAATCCCGTGACATGATTTTATTTTTGCAAAATACAGTATTACTAAATTCAATTGCTTACAAATTTGGAAACAGCGTTGCTCTAAAACAGTTGAGATAGAACTCCAATTTGGTATTAATAAACGAAATAAAAGGAAAGCTAATAATAGTAATATTAATAATAATAATAATAATACTATTAACAACAATAATATCAATAACAACAGTATAAATACGGATAATAATCCCAATAATAAAATAAATAAAAAAAAGAAAATACCATCAGAAAATTGGAAAATTTGGATGGTAAATAATATTAAATATGGACAGAACATACAATTGATGTAATAGTGACATTTTGCTAACCCTTTTCTGTTTGGAAGTGTGGTTACTTTATATTAAATGTTAAATTCCATTATGGATTAACAGCCACATGGAAAGAAAGGGCGGTGAATAGTCGGCCCAACCAATCTGATATAAATCAGATATGGGGGGTAATTATTTGTTTATGTTTTTTTATCTGTTATTTTACAAATGTAATTGATAATATAAATTTAATAAACATAATAATACAACTACATCGTTAAAAAAAAAAAAAAAATAAATTCAATTGCTTATTTAACTTGGAAGCAAAAAAGTAGAAATATAAAATATGGCAAATCGGAACAAACTTTAATTAACTGGCCAATGAATTGGATAATATTAAATTCTAATGGTGAAGAAAACACTAAAACATCATTTAATGCTAATAATAAAAGATATTTCAAAGTTAAAAAGTTAATAGAAGAATTACCAACTATTGAAAGCCTTAAATTACGAAGTCCAGATCTATATGATAATAATTGGAAATGTTGCTTTGCAACAAAGAAAATGAAGATTTTTTCACACATTCGGATATGTGAAAAACAAAAAGAAACAATTAACAATATACACTTCCTGAACAAAAGTATAGGGACACCTGGAGATCATTGCAAATAATTGAATAAAGTGACATGACAAGAACTAAAAATTTTACTATCCCAATCACACCTGCTTATCAAGTAAAAATTAGCAATCTCCTTTTCAATTTGTTCTCTCTTCATCTTTTAGATACTTAATCTCCTGATAATCTAGTAATGGTTTGCCGCCAACGTGTACTGATATACTGAAGTTTCACCGCATATAAATAAAAACATTGTTGTTTTACAAACCTTAAAAGATAAAAAATGAAAATTTCGGAATTTTCTGAAAAATGTTTGACTCGAAAATTGACCATAATAGCAAGTTCTAACGACCTTTGTGGTATAAGTAAAAAATGTGTTTCATGTTTGAAATTAGTTACTTCTAAAATTTTAGAGCATTTGGTGAATCAATTAACGAGGGAAAAAATAAATTGTAAAAATTTTTACAAAATGATTCAAACTGCTCACTAATTTGAAACATAAAAGACATTAAAAAATACATGAAACTATTTTAAATTGATTATATTTTATTAAAAAAAATTAATATCTTGTCGGGTTTCCTCTACTTTCTAAAACAGCATCAACCCTTCATGGCATACTATCTATTAATTTATTAATTTTTTTAATATTATCTTCAAAATTGGAAAAAATCAAAATCCATTTTAGTATTTTTGTCCATAAATTGAGAAATAATGTGGTAAACTTTGTGAAATTCTGCAAATAACTAATTTCAAACATGAAACACATTTTTTACTTATACCACAAAGGTCGTTAGAACTTGCTATTGTGGTCAATTTTCGAGTCAAACATTTTTCAGAAAATTCCGAAATTTTCATTTTTATCTTTTAAGGTTTGTAAAACAACAATGTTTTTATTTATATGCGGTGAAACTTCAGTATATTGTAATACTTGATATGAAGATTAATTTTTACTTAATAAGCAGATGTGATTGGGATAGTAAAATTTTTAGTTCTTGTCATGTCACTTTATTCAATTATTTGCAATGATCTGCAAGTGTCCCTATACTTTTGATCAGGAAGTGTATATATGATGTCAGTTTTACAATGAATGTCTTCACAACTACAACCAAACAGATTGGTAGAATTGTAATAAAACATGTCATCAGAAAATTCTTTCTGATGTAATATGGGTATCAGAAATAAAAATGATTTGTAATAGTAAAAAATAAATTACTTATATAAAGAGATGTAGCCCCATCATTTCTAATAATAAAATAAAAATATTTGGATGCAATTAACCTTGTATCTAATGCTTGGGGATCAAGTAACAGTTGAAATGATTAAAAGTAGCTGGAAAAAGACTAAAATCATTAATAATCAAAGTTCAACTGATTTAATAGCTGAAGAAGATCCAAACAAACAATCAGAAATAAATGAAATAAATGATTTGATTAATGTACTTCACCCTACAAATCCTTTAGAGGCTAATGAATTTATTACAATTGATCAAAATCTTGTTGTTCAAGAAGAAATGATGGTAGAAGAGATTGTGAATATTGTAAAACAACAATCAGAAAATGATGACAATGAAACAAATGAGCCTGAACAAATAGTTACTGATACAGAAGCCATAAAAGGTTTGGAAGTGGCACTCAAATATGTACAACAAAAAAATTTAGAAATTGATTTTCAAGTAATTAGAAATGTCAATAAGTTAAAAAGGGAAATTTCTTATAAAAGTTTTCAAGACAGGTACAAACAAGAATAGAAGATTATATGATAGAATAAAATATTTTTGTTTTTTATTATTATTTTTATCATGTATATTTTATATATTAAATTTTACCATGTATCGGTATAATATAAAATTTTTTATAACGGATCTCACGTGATTTAATTATGGATACCTTGCTTTTGCGGATAAATTTTCTGGAACAAACATATCCGCTAAATCGAGATTCACTGTGTATTTTATTATTATATTTATTTTTTGTATTCTTTCTTTATTTTATTATATTATGTAGAATTGACATTAAAGAAAAACAATAAAAGAAATTTTATTAACACTTAGTATTATAGAAATAATAGTCAAAAAAAAAATAAGAAAATTTACATGCAAATTCTTCTCGAAGAATAAAAAAATTAAAAATTTATGTATATAATTCAATTAATAAAATTTAAATTTAAATTGGAGATGGTTATATATATAAATTATAAAATAATTTAATAAAAAATACAGTGCACCCTCCCTAAATGCACGCACTATGTATACCCTCCATAAATGCACGCTCACAAGAAATAGCACTATGTTCCCGAGGGGGGGTGCACTTATAGAGGGTTCACTGTATAATAAAAGACATGATTATGATGGTGGCGGTAGTGACTCATTCGTCATTCTAGTTATTGTATAAAAAGAAAAAAAAATTTTTAAATTTAATTCAGAGTAATTCTTTCAATAAAATTGTAATAATTATTATTGTTCACCTTAATTTTTTTGCTATATCTAGAATTTGTTCATGAACTTCCTTTTTAAAATAACATTTTCTTCTTTTGAGGCCTATCAACAATATAAATTTTATTTATATATATAAAATTTATTTCTTCAGATCAAAAAAAAAACAATTAAAAAAAACCAATTCTTCTTACCTTTAATTCTTCCTTAAGACAAATGATTTGACTTTGATAATAATTCTAGTACACAGGTCACTGGTTCTTGATGCGTATTCCAGTGTTGATTTTGTTTCTTCAATACTCAATTTTACAGGTGAGATTGTTGCAAGCATGCAGAATGCTACCACCATTTTTTAATAATAACTAGAGTGACAACAAGTGGTGACAACCACCACCATCCTTAAAACACTCACAAGTTTGCTTTTCCTTTGACATCTTCTTTTATTCTTTTGCTTTTGATTCTATCAGACATTTTTTTTTTTAAGAAAGAAAAGTTTGTGATTTGATCGAGGACAGACGATTGATTGATTTTTTTTTTTAAGAAAAGTTTGTGATTTGATCGAGGACAAACGATTGATTGATTTTTTTTTTTAAGAAAGAAAAGTTGTGATTTGATCGACGTGTACACATTAATTATTTCTATTACTATTGTTTTTTTTTTTGGGAGGACAGACGATTGATTGATTTTTTTTTTTTTTTTGTAAAAACAATTATGTAAAAACAATTAACAATTTATTTTTTGACAGAGCCCAAGGTGACACAACGTGAGTGTTGTTGTTTGGTTTGGTTTGGGTCTCCTAAAGAATACGTGTTAATAACTAACCAGAGGTACTTTTTTTTAATTTGTATTGATATAATGTGTCTTTTATTTTATAAGCAATTAATGATTATAGATGACCTGCACCGTACACCAACAAATGCTTGTATTAAATAAAAATTTCGTTGAAACTTTACATCAGTCATTCATAATTTTTTGCTTGAGTCGTGATTTTTTATTCGAGAGTTTTGTTTTTACTTTCATCACAATTCTGATAACAACTGTCATGTTCTTATGCATAAAGGTTAAACTGTCTCTCATGTACTGCAAGATGTTTCATTGCAAGTTAGTTACGCCATTTAATTTATCAAATGGCATCTTTAAAAAATATTGAAATTTTTTATGTCCTTCCCAACTTTCAAACTTATTTAAATATCCAAATAATAAAAATAAAGAAAATTAGTAAAAAAAGAAAAGGTTGCAATTCCATTTTCTAGCACATGTTTAAATTCATTGTCATTTCAATTTTATCTTATTATCAATGTCCCATACATTGTCATTAATCGATAGTTTCTTATTGAGCTATCAGAGGCTGCAATTTTAAATCAGTTATCTATGAAATAATTCTTAACATATGCGCGCGAATCTACAAAAAAAAATATATATCATCAATATTATAAATGTTGAGGGAGGTTCGTAAGCATACTTCTTTTTTTAATAGATGTCTTTCTTTTCATAATCGATCAATTTAATTCGTTTATTTTGTTTATTTTTATTCAAAATAGTTTTATTACTATTTTCAGTCGTCTTAATAAAACCGTGTGATCGAATTCATGCAATTACAATAGATATCGAAGATATTAATGTTTGTTTGTAAAATCACCAATAGATTTTGTTAGATGAGTAAATATTTATATTTTTCTTATTGTGTTGTGCATGTTCGTATTTTATATAAGTATTGCTTACTTTTTTTTAATGAATTCCTTCTCTATCCATTTTTTCTCCTTCCTCTCTTCTCATAAATCAATTCATCCTCGCCAATCCATTTTCATTAATACTCATTAACATTCACCTCACTTCATTCTTTTTCACTACACACAATTCCTTCGCCTCAGTAATTGGGCATCCGCTTCACTCTTTTCACTTTATAAATCAATCATAATATTTATTCTAAAGAGGAACAAATAATCATAAACAAAATGATTGCTTCTAAAATTTATTCAGTTGCCACTACGTTATATTTGGTTTCATTGTTGCTTTCGGCTGTTTTAGTCGATTCAGCTAAAATCAAGTGTACTAAAAGTGTTTCAAGTAAAGAATTCAATATAAATAAAGAAGAATTTGTGGTCTTGCTTGAACATAAAACAGGATCAACCTCCGCTGCTTCTGGTTCAGGAAATGCGGCAATTCTTAAACAACATTTGGATTTTTTTGAAGACTGCTTGGGAATGGATTCTAAACCATTTTACGGTAAAAATAATGGGAAAATTACAACAAAGAAATCTTCTTCAAATACAGTATTGCATTTTTCTGGTGGCAGCATTTTTGGCTATGTTGGTTTTTTTAATCCTCGATTAGTTAAACAACAAATTAAAACATTCCCTAATGTTAAAATAGTCGAAAAGGTATCAAAAGCTAAAATTTTTGCTGCTATACAAAATAATGGTCATAAAACAACTGAAAGTACTTCATTTTATGACTTGGATCGTATAGATCAAAGAAATAATATATTAGATGGAAAATTCCATTATCCTACCCCAGCTGGTGAAGATGTAAACGTCTATGTGGTTGACACTGGTATAAATATAGCTTCACCAGAATTTGGTAATCGTGCTAGACATGGTGGTTCTTTTTGTGCTGGATGTGGTAACACGGATGATCATGGTCATGGCACAGCAGTCGCAAGTGTTATTGGTGGTATCCATTTTGGTGTAGCGAAAAAAGTCAATCTTATAGCTGTCAAAGTATTTGATGGGTCAGGGGCAGGAAGTTCTGCAAATATTATTGCTGGTTTATCATTTATATTAGCTGATCATTTAGCAAACAATAACAAAAGGACAGTTGTTAATATGTCATTGGGTGGTGGACATTTGGAAGCAGTTGACAGTGCAGTTAAGGCTCTTACAGATGAAGGTATACATGTTATCGTAGCTGCCGGAAATGATGGAGATGATGCTTGCAATATCTCACCTGCAAGTGCACCATCAGCAATTACAGCATGTGCAACTCAAAAGTCAAGTGATACTATTGCTGATTTCTCAAATTTTGGACCTTGCGTTGACATTTGTGCTCCTGGTGTAGATATTCCTGTGCTTAAATTTGGCCTCATACCTGACCAAGCATCTGGTACAAGCTTTTCATCTCCACTAGTTGCGGGTGTTGTTGCTTTAAAAATCAGTGCTTTTGGTAATCTTAGTCCTGAAAGAATGGCTCAAAGATTATTTTTTGCAAGTACCAAAAATATTATTCAAGGATTACCAGCGGGTACACCAAATAGATTTTTATTTGTTCCACAAATTAAAAAATAATGATTAATTGTTATTTTAGAAACTAGATGAATGTTTTATGGCAGTGACTTTGTCACTTGTGTTACTTGTTATTTATTGTTTCAAAGTTTCTATTCAAATAAAGGATATTAAGAAAAATTTCTGACCTTTGACAAAGTTAAATGATTTTAATATTTTTTTTGTTGTTGTAATACTGAAGGGTGACGTGATAAAGGTTTTCTTGCTATGCCACAATTATAAAAGATTTCTTTAAATGTTTTTGTTCATGTAGTAGCATATATATAAATATAAATATAATATTATAATTATTTTGAGATAGCTTAACAAATTTTTGATCAAATGCCATCCATCCATCTAATTTCACAAGCATATGAAGGTTTAAAGCGTGTATATTTGGAAATTGTTAATATGTAAAAACAATGTTAGCTCAACATATAAAATAAAGAGTAATAATTTTTTGAAGTTGCTCCCAAATTTTTCTCCCCAAAAAAAGTAGCCCAGCTCATGAACATGACCAAATCTTTATCAACAATTACAAGTGGATAAAGAATAGAAATTTAATGCATCAGTCAAAATAAGGAACAATTTCATTATAAAAATATATTGCACGTACCAAAAGTCATAATTTTTCATCATCCAAATAAGTGAAGATTAGAAATTTTAATTTGCATACAGTATGTATGTAAATCGTTTTATTGAAAACCTTCCAACAAAATATTCTCTCAACTCAAATGTTCATTCCAAAAGCACTTCCAGATAAAAAAAAACTTCTTCCAAGTGGATTTGCCAAATATTAACAAAATTAATTAATAAATAATGTAAGTATTATTGACATAGTAATAATAATAATATTTATATTATTTACGCATTTACATCTAAAGAAAATTGAAAAAGAATTTTTTAGTCTGTTAATTTAGAGGAATGCTTTATGATAGTGACCTCATCACCAGTGTTACTTATTATTTATTGTTTAAAGTTTCTATTCAAATAAATGTTTATATGTAATTAATTTTGAATATCCAATTAAGATATCCATTATTTATTATTATTACAAATAGAAATTCTACAAGAAAAATTTCTGGTCTTTGAATGATTTTTGTTGTGATGCTGAAAGGTGATGTGATGAAGGTTTGCTATACCACAATTACAAAAGACTTTTTTTTAGATGTTTTTATTCATTGTTTATAATTTTGTTGAGTAATAAATAACTTTTATTGTATATATAAATAAATATTTAGATGGCCCAACAAAATTTTGATTAAATGCCATTGCCTAAATTTCACAAGCAGATAGAGGTTTAAAGTATATATATTTGGAGATTGTTAATATGCAAAAATAATGTCAGCTTAACATATAAAATAAAGAGTAATAATTTTTTGAAATTACTCTTGAATTTTTCTCCTCAAAAAAGATACAGTGCGGATCATCTATACTCAAAAGTTAAAATTTTTGAAATATTATGTGATCCACACATTGGATTTTAAAAAAC